CGAACAAAAGTAAGAGAAATTTAGGATAAGAATACGAACATGTTCTTGCATGAGGCCCAATGTTCTTTGTTTGTCAGTAATTAGGTTATGTGATTTTTATTTATTTATTTTGAACATTTAACTCTCTTCCCACAGCCACCACTACAAATGTAAGACAAATTTCCAGCAGTTCATGATTCTTAGTGTGCTTATTTTGTCACTCACTCATGCAAAGCTAATGAATTTACAAGAGTCAACACAATGAGAAACTGCAGTCTTAACAAGTGCTGACCTTAGCTAGGTTCTTTTGATTTAGGATCTGGGTCCATTGCCTGTTCTGTGGTTTTGCTTAAAAAATGATGATCGTGTTCACCCTGTTTGGACTTGAAGTTGTATGGCTGAGGACACCTCCTAATGAAACAGCAGGGGTGACTCCATAAAGTTTTGTAAGGGTTAATCTGATGGGGGTCATAAATAATCTTGGGGTGACATATCAAAACCAAAATTCAAAGCAGAATTACAGGAATTTAAAAAAAAGCATGGTGGGACATGACAAAACTTAGAATAGAAGATAAAAGTGTTTACTTTGGAATGAAAGAATAAAATCAACGAAGTCTGGGCTTGGTGACTGTTGGGCTGATATGAGGCTCTGTAGTTGAATATATTGTTTTAGAGCGGTACCGTGTATGTTAGATTTTTTTTGCCATGTCATTGTCCTGCATGAAGAAGACATTTGCATTCATCCTCTTTCTGCCAGCACTGTCTGTCAATTGGAAATCAGCGTTTCATTTTTTTCAAGGGTCCCCATCACGTCTTTTGAATTGAACTTCAGCCATGGAATTATAAACACAAGGTCATGTCGCTCTTTATGTGGCTCAAATAAATGTAGAGTTTTACTACAGGCATTTTTGAAAATGCAATATATTGCATAGACACCAAAAATACTTGGGAAATCTAGATTTAATTACTTTGTGTGGCAATGTGGGAGAAAATTTGATGAGATTTAATGACCATAAATGGGCATGCTGAGTACTTTTTGAGAGCCGCCAGCCAATACAACATATTATTTCCCCCTAATATTAAGTAATTAAAAATTCCTTATGTTGTTGTCATGAATGCCTGTGGGCAAAAAGCGAAACACGGAAAATATTGGTTTTGCTTAGTCTGTATGTGTGCATGTGTTTGTCTCTTTCTGATTCCAAAATATCTCATGAACCACAGAATGAATTCAAATGAAACTTGAAGAAAGTAATTATAGGATTATTGGTCTAATTAACTTTTGGAGTCTGCCAAAACCAGTTATAGCTTCATCTAATTTGTGAAACCAGTTTAACACTGTCGGAATAAAAGCATTTCTTTAATTGTTTTATTTTTGTTTGTGTATTTAGTTCTCTTTTGAAATTGGTCAAAAAACATACACTTTCTGTACCCTATTTTACACATGGTCAATTTTTATATGTGTTAATTAAATATTGTTAAATATTTTATTTCTTTTGGACACTCTTATTTAATCTTAGTTTAACTGCTACAGATGCTACATGCTACACACATGGTGCTTGTCACATTTAGCACTGCTTATAAGAGGGGATAGTTTTTTTATTTAATTTGGATAAAATGGCATAAAGATACAAATTTTACACTTGTAAAGTTTTACCAAATCAGCAGAGCCTAATTTAGTGGAAGCTAATCGGTCTGCTAACGGTTTCCAAAGTTTGCAGAAATGCTAAGCCGCAAAATGAGAAGCTAGTACCGCTATTAGCGGATTAGCAGGGCCATCACTGTCCTAAACACAGTCAGAGTGCTAACAGGTAGCACAAAATCATTGTTTCAAAACTGCCATTAAAGTTTCAGTCAACTTTGTCTGTGAGCAAAATATCTCACAAACCACTGAACAGATTTTAATGAAACTTTCAGGAAACTATCATTTATACCTCTACAACTGATTAACTTTTGGAGCCAAACCCATTAAAGATGACTGCCGCAATGAACTGCGGTGAGAAAACACAAACATTGCTGTAAGTCTGTCATTTTGAAAATGTTAAGCTGAAACTGGTGCGGCTGTAGCTGAGAATCACAACACAGTCATAAAGGTTTGACCGAAACAACTCCAACTCTTTCATATCTTAGGATGATTTTAGTCTAAACCTCTGTCATGAAACGCGGCAGGCGAAATGCGTTTCTTTAAGAAATGCTCGGCCTTCAATTTAATTTAATTAAGACAATGTCTTTAAAAGGTCTGTGTCCTGAGAAGTCGATGTGTACTATTAGCACTGGAATGGCTTTGGTTTGGATCCCAGATGAAGCCATTACTGTTTATTTCATTTGGAGCACATAATTAAAATTAAGTTTTCAATTTAAAGAGTATTTAAAGAGTATTTTACAAAACCTCCCCCTGTGGCATACACAATTTCACTGTACCATCTTGCTTCTCGTCTGCTGTTGTATGAGATAACAGCAGTCTACGGTCATAATTTTAAACAACTGCACAGTGATTGTGAAGGAGCCTAAAGGGACAGGCTGCCCACATCTATAGTTTAGTGAAAGGGAAAACAGGGGGACAAGCATTTCAGTTTAACAAGCAGCCTCTCTGCCCCAGCACAGATTTGGGTATATAAGCACAGGCTTGCTGTCAATGGCACTCTCTTCCCTGCATGTTTTGAAGATCACCACTTTGCCCCCACAGTGACTCAAACCTCCGAAGCGGCAGGATTTGACTGCAGTCGGCTTTTGCTGGATGACTCATTTCTCCTCTGTGGCTAACATTGTTAGATGCTGAGGCTTCACTGACCTAAAGATGTTAGCAGGCACCTTGGCAGAAGGCGGTCTACTTAAGATGGCACCGATGCGAAGGGAGCCGTTTTGTTAAGCAGCCCGAGCTGTCGGCTCTGTGGGAAAGATGAGACGGATGAGAATCTCCTGTAAGGAAAGCCATAGCTCTTCAACATCAGCTAAAATGAGGTGACTGAGAGGCTGAGGTGATCTTAAAGGCCCTCTGCTTCCATCTTATTCATACAGTGGCATCCACATGTTTATGTCTAATTAAAATATCAGTTCCTGTTAGCTAAGCAAGATGAGGAAGGACTGATCTCACAGAGGCACAAAGTTAAAGATAAAATTTTTAACAAAACTCGATTTTTAGTCGTCACATTGTACATTTTTAGAGGTGAGAAAAGGAAATGAGTGCTGGGCAGGAGTTTGGGTAGTGCAAGTGATTTCAGCTCCTGCTGATGCAAATTTTCAGGTATGAAAATATCCTGACTTTTAGCCATTTTCACACATCAGCTCTGACTTCAGGTACAGTATCTCAGTGTGCTACGACCGTTGGCGACAAACATGACAATGTGAGAAAATTGACAACAATTTTGGGGAATTTTTCACTGATTTCTGAGTTTTTGCAACCAAGTGTTCAGCACGCTGTGCAGCCATGTGTGGCGAATTTGTAAAAGCTGCACCATTTTTTGACTTGCAAACTGCGTTTTAGGAATATGTTGTTGCCTGCATCACACTCACCTCTGCCCACTTTGCAAAAACCCTGGCCTGGTTTATGATTCAGTCTACTTGAATACAATTTTGAAATGTTTTATTTATTTTTTGTCTTCAACTACTTTTTTATCATCTGTGTGGTTTCACACCTTGATCTGCTTCTGGTCAGAGTCCTGTGCAACTGTTGAAATGAAGCTATTGAGGCAAATTGGAAACACCTGCAACAGCTCTGTGAACAAAGCTAAATGAGTAATACAATTTAGAGGCTCCTAAAATGCATTTTTGGCGAGAATACATGACTGAAACAAAAAAAAAGAGAAACAACTTTGGGGGTATTTACAAAACTCTGTTCCTGTGTGGACCTAAAATGTCTGCCAGCAGTGGGTCAACTTTAACTCCCTCATTTCACCTCCGTTTTTCACACCTCACCAAAACAAGATGAAGGCCTTGCTACTGGGACTGTGATGTGTGAAAAGGGCTTTTTGTGCCAATCTTCAGCAACTATGTTTTTTTTTTAAGGGAGCTGTGGGAATGGTGGAATTCAGGACACTGATGAAAGTTCTTAAATAAATTTTGAGTTAAACTTTAGCCGGATTCACATTGTTTGAGTGGTTTGTGAGCCCGTGTTTGGTGCATGCACCTGTAGAAATGTGCATATAAATATCCCGTGTAATGGCTGTAAAGCCTAACCTTTTGGGAATGTTGAGAAAATGCATGTTTGAAGGAAAAGCCTTTAATATTTTATACAGGAACACCTTTATATTAGTTGAGCTGAGTGATCATAGCCAGTTTCTCTGGTGCTTATAAAAATTGGTTCAATGTCAAGTAAGCATTACTCAGGAAAAAAAAGGTAAAATTATGCAGATGATAAAGTAAATAATTATATCAGCATCTGAGTAGTTACTGTACAGTATATGTTCAAAATTAAAACCACAAAAGACTACCTGAAGAATTACAATCCTTCCTGAAGTCAATAGAATTAGCATTTAGTTGACAGAGGATGGATCATTACACTGAACTCAAAATTATTGTTTTTTTAATTAATTTATTTATTTGTCAGAAGAGATAAACAAAATAAATCTCTTAACAAGAACTAGTGTTTTTGTATCTGGCAACAAATTATTGTCTTGTTTTATTCAGGGTTTCTACATAATTTTCACATTCAGATTTTGTTCATTTTTTGAGCCATTTTGACTTCAAAACATCATCTATAAACTTACTGTTTGTACAGTTGTGCAGTTTATTCCTCTATGCTTAAATAACATGTTAGAGGTGCGAAATGTTTTTCCTCAATTCAATTAATTTTATTGTTTTCACTGTGTTTACAAGAGAAGATAAACTACACATTACTTTAAGAAACGTATGATTGTTTGTGTTGTTTTTAATTTTTCAGAAAACATTGTTTATTTAAACGCTTTTTGTCCAGGGAATTTGTTTCGATCAAACCCTTACAAATAGTTTTGACATAGAACTGAAACTCTTACATGAGCTTGTGTATAATGGTTCAGCTGTTGACACTACAAATAACAGACAGGGGCTTGCACAGCAAAGAATTATCTTTATTTCAATTTCTAAAAGTTAGTAAATCTAGTTGTTGATAAACAAAGTTTTCATTATAGTGATAATGTTCTTCCTTTTACATAGCATCATAAATAATATCCTGCTCATTTCAACAGTTTTACTTTTTAAAAAATCATTTTGGAAATAAAGTCCAAAAAATGTGTCCTGTTTTACAGACTGTTTTCTCATTTTCTTAATAACCAGACCTGGTTATTATGGTCTGGTTATAACCAGACCTCAAATCAATTTCCTTGCTTTCAAAAGCTGCACAGTAACCCTATTTATTATACTATGAGTAATGGGAACAAATATTTCTAAAAATAAGGGGGAACCCTTTAAGCTGTTTTCTTTTTGCAGATGAACTTCTACAGTTCCCAGCAATAGACATTTTGACACTGTATGCCTATGAAGAAAAGCAGAAGGCCTTGTGTAATGATGGGTAATGATGAAATCTAGGTGAAGAAAATAAAGGTGAATGATGGAATTATACCCTGACTGTAACTGTTCCACTCAGCCACCTGCTGTATATTTCCACCTTGTGTGATTTGACTGTACTCTGATTTTATCTCCCATCAGTCCCTCCAGGAAGCTGCAATGACTGCATACATTAACACAAATGCAACCAATTCCCGCAAACCTTTCTGCAAATTTGCCCTATCACCTCATCTCCCTGTTAAGTTTCACTTCCACAATTCTGAGCCTGCAAGATAAAAACATGCCAGGAGATCACATTTGCTTCACATATTCCCACTAAATTTATGTGCAACTCAATATCCTGACATGAAAAATGGGTACAAAACTGTTTTTCTTCATTGCAGTGAAAGGAATGAAAATTGTTGCGCTTTTCCACAGTAAAACACTAGCTGGGCATGTTTTATTTTAGTCAACCAAACTACGACGTGAGCAGAAGTGAGGAAAGTGTTTATCATTCTAAATTCAAGTCATAGATCAATTGCAGACATTTTTCTTTTGTAAATTTATTTGTTCTGACTATGTTAATGAAAAAAGATGAAGCTTCAAAACATTGCAACTCTGATTGCCACTTTCTGAATAAAGCTGCTGGAAAATCGAATGTTTTAGGTTGCAGCAATTACAAAATAAACCCCAAAAAACTCCTGAAGGGACCGAGTTAGACATTGTGTAACTTGGTTTTGTTGGATAAATCATTAGGAAATCTGCATAACCTGGAGATTTTGGCTTCCACCACATTTTTCACACATTGCGTCCTCCATTTTTTCTTACCACCTTGGCTCCACTGTGTTTTTCAGTCAACACCCCTTCAAGTCAAAGAAAGGAGGGGAAAAAACAAAGTGTTGGGAGGGCAATGGAATAAACAGTGCAGGTAATTACTTTGTTACGGTCTAGTGCTCCAATAGGCAGAACAGCAAAGAACATTGATCTCAACTGAAGGTACAATGAGTTTGATTGATACAATGTAATGTGATTTAACCACTATCAAAAAGTAGTACCAACACACAGAGTACAAAACTAGTCCTTATATGCTCAGCCCACTCAAGCTATATTATGTTACGAAAGAAGGGTCTACCGTAATCCCAAACCCCACCATTTTCCTCTTTCCAAATCCAGCACTCTGTACGTCCACAACCCAGACTGCATTTCCCATGGTCCTGCAAGGGCGTGTGTGTTCCTGTAATCCAATAAAGGAGTGTGTCTTGAATTTCTCCGATGCAAGGGACAAGGTGAAAATTATTCTTATTAAATGACATAATCAGCAGAGCAGCCATCAAGCAGATAAATTGTCATGCGCATCGTGCTAAAATATCCCAATTATCCTTTGTCCCTCAGCTCTCTGTGTTGAAGATGGAACTGCCAGAAAGCCAGTCCGTGCATCCTTACTTTCTCCTGGTCTTAACTGGCAGGTTTGCAGTATGGACACCCCTCACAAGAGAAGGGGGCTTTAACAGCCTTGGTGCTTAGTGTATAGATCTAGATATGTAAATAGGTTCTATACAATAAAATTGTTCCCAATCAAAAAATAAATGGATGAAAAGTATTTGCAAGGTTATTTTTAAACTCTCAAAATGGTTTTTGTTGTGCATACGTAGTCTCTTTTTCTTGATTTCCAGCAATCCCTTTGCTCTTTTCAACAGCTGCTTTTTGCCTTATCTTACATAGCCTCCATTTATGATGTTTAGACATGCCTAAATTGGTTTGCACAGCATCAGCGTTGTGCCCTACAAACCGAGTATTCTGCAGAGTAATGCCAAAGGAAAACAATATGTTTTTCTTTCCTTTACAAAGTGCTCCCCTCTTCTCACCTCCAAGGCGTGTCTGATGCTCTGCTCTGCTTCTAGATAATACTGTCAAGCAGTCATTTGTCAAAAAAATCCCAAAGGCCATAACTGTCGCTAGAGAGAAAAAGTGTTTTACTGTTCCTTGTTTTGCTGCAATATCAGAACAAAAATATTAATAAAAACATCCTCCTCTTTTAGCTTGTGGGAGCGTGTTCTGCCCCCACTCTGTATGTGTATTTTTGTGTCTTTAACTTTTGTACAAAAAGAAAAAAAAACACATTTTTTTTAATCATCTGGTTCAAAGTCTTTGAAATCCTTTGCTATATTCCCTCTAGTATTAACAGGGTGTGGTATATTCCCAGTGTAATTCCATGGGTGTTTGGCAACTCCAGGCTGGCGTTTCAGCTCCAGACATATTTGTGTTTGTTGGGAAGTTGGCCTCAGGTCTCTGCTGCAGCAGCATCGTTAGCTTTTCGCCTCAGCTTTCAGAGTCTGGCCTGCTTGGCTGATTTAGTGGGCTATACTCGGGTGGTGGAATGTGAGTGTGGGTGCGCATGAGGCAGGGTGTTGTTCTGCCCGCTGTTGGGGTAGGTGTTAAAAGAGTGAAGTGAGGTGAGTCCTCCCATGGTGCTGGGGATCATAGTTATGGTGTTTGGTGTCATAAGCGGGATGTCATCTGGGGAGCGTCTCATGGCCAAGGTGTAGTCTGGCGGGCAAGCAGTCCTTAGGACAACATCGTGTGGATGCAGAGAGTCTCCCACTGCCCTGCAGTCCCGGTCCAGATCCGAGTGCTGCTTCATCTGCAGGGACATGATCTCCTCCTCCTGAGTGTGAGCCAGATCGTTGGCAGCACTTCGTTGGGGGCTACAGCGCCTATGGACATCGTGCCTTCTCTTGTCCTTTTTATAGTAAAGAGCAGCAAAAGCCAAAATATTGAGAAAAAGCAGGGAGGCTCCCACAGCTATAGTTACTGACAGCTCTGTGGAGTAGTCACGCTGGTCCACCAAGTGAGGTTGGTTGTGACTGTCCTCAGTCTCAGTGGGAAATGGAGTTGGATTAGGGCGCTTGGTCACCAGAATGTTGGTTTTCGGTGTCCGGTTATTGGCCTCTGGTGGAGGAATCTGTGGACAGAAGAGCAGTGGTCAGTATTTAATTTAGTATATTATTTTACTAATCCAATTAATCATCTAATCGTCATTAATCTACAAATTGAAAAATCTAACAAAGCACAACAAAATGACATACAATTCAGGAAATGCAGCATGAAATGCAGATGAGCTCTAGCTTAAGTAGCTTGTGTCAACAAAATAATTTCTGTGGATGCATCAACTTGGCTGTCATTGGTTTAAATGAGGCCAATTATGGGTCCTAGAAATTTTTATGGTATGTCTGTGGGCTATCCAGGCCATGTTCATTCAATTTAATGCACAAAATACAGTAATTCTCAGATAATAAAATTTCCCATTTTCTAGTTCTGCCTGCTCTGACTTCCGTTCAGAAGAGCTGTTTATGTTAATGAGCTCTGTTGGTGACGCCCTCCAAAAATCTGTTGACATTAACTCTGCCCTCCAAAGCCAGTGTTTACGTTAGCATGGCTAATAATAGCAGAAGCTCCATTGTACAAACATATGAGAGACCCTGAGGCAGAGTCGTGGTCGCAGCTTCTTCTTTTTTTTCTCCCCCTCCTCTGCTCTGCACTCACTCTGCATGCTGTTACCAGAACAGGGAGCAGCAGCGGTTAAAATACCTCAGAAACTCGAACAAATAGGCTTTAACAAGGCTTTAATAAGYTAAACAATAGAGGTACATGAGAAAATGTGTTCATAACGAACGAAAATAAATAATTAAATTGTGTCTGTGTCAGTCTCAAACCCTAGTCTCCCACTCTCCGGTCCAACACTCTACCCATTGCCCTATTGGAGACTTGTTGTGAAATGAGCTGCGCATTGCACAACAACAACCGTAACGGCTTTTTATGCTGAGGAGGTGGAGTTTCACCCGGGGGTTGCTAGGTAAGGGGCTGAACGCAGGTTCCGGTGGGTTGTCGTACGGCTTGTGACATCACAAAATGACCGAAGTATAAAACTTGTCATTAATATACATTAAAAATACATTTACTTACAGTAAATATGCCCCTGGGTGCATTTTTTTGGTCCTAGGACTGTTTTTTTAAGAAGTACATAACCAAAGTTGAGTAAAAAAAACCTTTAAAAAGTGAATTTTGCATAATAGGTCCCCTTTAACAACAAGATAACGATTTGGTACCAACCTTGGTAGTGGTAGGGATGGGCTGTGTGACTTCATTGAGACTATGTAGATGAGGAACCAACTCCAACCATAAGTTGACCTGAGGAGTGGACAGAAATAAGATATGAAAGAAAAACCTCTTAAGAAGAAGTCGCAGTCAACATGTAATGACTTTAGGATACAAAAGCAAACATGTTGGTAATTCTGAAAGCAAAACAAAACTACAGTATGTCAAAACCTATAGGAGTATAAATGTAATGACTTGGTATGGGTTCCGAATTTGACACTTTTTTAAGTACAGACCAAATTCTGTCGGTACTACCGAGAACCTATTCACGTAACATCAAACGGTACCATGTTTCCGTACCTAAATGCATCATTGTGACCGTATTGGCGTAAGGATTCATAACAGTGGTGAGTTTTCCATGCTTGTCCTGAATGCAGCATCGCGCAAGAGCGCAATAACGTCAGCAGCCGCTGGTTCAGTTAACAGAGCTCGGTCTGAAAGCGAGCCTAGCAGCTCGTAGCTCCTGGAGAAAACTCGCCGAACAGACCGCCTTGGAATTATCTGGTGGATTAATTATCTTGTGAACATGACATTCGCTTGCTCAAAGTAAATAAAGTACCGCCAATTTCTTTATTTCATCCACCATTAAACAGAGACCGGCAGAGGAAAACAACAGAGGCGCTTCCTGACAGTCCGAACACGTCTGACCTAAAGAGCACAAGTAGCCAACTTTAAAGAGTTGGGGGTGTTTTGGATGCTCAAAACGTAGCTTGAATACCTTGTATTTATTTTAACTCAATCCTCTTTTGCTTATTTGATTTAAAGTTATTTGCCTTCCATGGACCTCCAAATTATTTTAGTGGTTGTTGTGGAATACTTATTTTCTGTATCACCTTGACACTGACCACTTGTTCCTGTTCCTGAAGATATGAACACTTGTTCATATCTTGTGATATCCTTCCGGACGTCAGCATCAAGTTGACCTATTTCAAATCTTGCTAAGATGACAGAATGCTGTATATGAGGCCTCTCGAGACACAGTGTACAAC